AAATAGACAACATGGGCAGTGTGCAATGTTACATCTTCGGTCTCTTTAATCTAAGTGTTCCAGCAAGACGGCGTCACTTGCCACACATCGCATAAAATCTTATAAGGGAGAGATTTGGCATTCGAATAATTTCTCGAAGAGCTGAGGTTAATTGTCCGCCTAGGTTGTGCGACCTTACACCATTGGATTATTTATTATTTCTTGTGGGGCTTTTTGAAGGGAAAAGTTTATGCTAATAACCCTCAGACACCTGAACAGCTTCGAGTTAACATTATTAAAAAAAATGAAAAAATTGAACAGTGTTTGCGAAAATGTTCTTGAAAATTTTGTAAAAAGAATGTTAGCATGCTAAAGAAGCAGAGGGGTCACATGCCGGATATCATTTTACATTATTATCCGTAACATTTAAACTTTAAAATAATACAATAATATTATATTATTTCAAGGACTTTTGTGTTTTATTATTAGATTAAATCCGAAGGTCAAATTTGGATACCCTTTATATTTTCCTTTTTCGGTGATGAATAAAGTCCTGTTATTTTTCTTATTATTATTAATTATTTATTATTATTATTTTATTTTTATTATTATTGTTTAATGAAAAAGCGACAAACCACGATAAAATAACGCCAAAAAATAGTATAAATCATGGAAAATAAAGGCAACTTTTTATTACATACATCCTAAAAAGAGGGAAAAATTCCAGCAGTTCCATTTATATTTTTTCTTTCTGTTGTCATAAAAATTCAAATTAAATTATTGATGATTATTGGGGAGACATATTGGTATTCATTTGTAAGCTTACTGGATTCTAATTTTTAGCATCGGAGTTTTTTACGTAAATAATAATTAGAATCAATGAAGCTTTCACTTCACTTTAGAAAATGTTATCTCCAGATTTTTTCAAACTCCAAACGAATGCGAATGGCGGCATCGCAGCCGGTTATCGATGATTCAGCATTCAGTAACCCCAATTCGTTGATATTAAACGGAAAATAATCCTGTGATTGCCAAGATTTTATAGGTTAAAACTGCAGGTCGTAGGTTGCCAGTTCATGACCTCAACATTCACCTGACAATCATAAAGAACACATAGGCGGAAGTGGCTTTTTCAAAATAGGGGATTACTCTCTGCATCTAAATAAATACATAGGTACCTATGAAATAATATTGTTGATTCCTTATTACAATAAAATATTTGGAGTACCTATGGGCATTTTATTTTAATAATATAAAATAGATAACTATATATATTTTTTTTACTAAAAAAAACTAGGATTAAAAAAATTAATGCTCTTGTTTCGTAACGTTTTTTAATTTAATTTACGTAAAAATGTTTCAGAATAAATTCCTAAAAGTACGTTTTTCTGGAAATTTAAGGTATGTTTTGGCCACAGAAAATTCGCCCAAAATCTGAACCAAGTGTTCCAAATTAGCAGCACTTAAGAGGCGTTTTAGCCACTAATTTCGGCGAATTTTAAAAAATCATTAACAAGATATTAAGAGCTTAAATTTGGGGATTATATTAAGAATACTGCTGTTAAGGAATGCATTTATTTTAATATTTCAAAATTTAAAGCCCTTTGATTTTTTTTCCCGGAAACAGGAAGGAATTAAAATTTTAAAATATATGCATATTCTAGATATTATTGCCTAATATATTTTGCCAAAATTTTAATTTTTTAAAAGGATTACTTTTTGAGATATCCTTGTCCGAAAATTATAAGGGGGTGCTGTAATCACCTTAACGAGGCGTTTTACTAACTAATTTTGGCGTATTTTAAAAAATCGTTAACAAGAGCTTAAATTCATTGATTATATTAAGAATACTGCTGTTGAGGAATGCATTTATTTTCATGATGATATTTCAAAATATAAAGCCCTTTGATTTTTTTTTTCGGAAATTGGAAGAAATTAAAAAAAAAACTTTAAAATATATGCTTATTCTAGATATTATTGCCGAATTTATTTTGCCAAAATTAAAATTTTTTAAAAAAATTACTTTTTGAGATATACTTGTCTGAAAATTAAAAGGGGGTGCTGTAATCACCTTACGTCTCCAACTATATTTTGACAGCTGGTTGGCAATTAATTGTAAGTCACAATGTGTATACTGTATATGTTGTCTAAGAGCAATTGCTATACAATGAGCATCATAAGTCTTACCCCCTAACTAATTCGTTACTGGAGTCTTGTTAGGAAAATCGCCGAGACACGTCGATTTTTGATTTCTACAATTTACATTTTTGTATGAATAGTTTACCCTTAATTTCATCCCTTACTGGAGGGGAGCAATCCTTTCGAAAAATTTAAATCGCACGGGGTGGTGAGTGATAGCTCATTTGAAAGGGGGTTTTATTCTCTATTCAACCGTGCAAAAAATTTTGAAATTTGCTTCATTACGTGTTGATTTATTAATGTTTAAAAATAACAAAACATCACAAATAGGAAAGCAGCTAAACAGTGACTTTATCTAATGGCAAAAAGTCTTACTTCACGTCTGAACCAAAACCGATATCATGCAGGGCCGAATTTTAATTCTAAGGATGAGTGCGCTACGTTAATTTCTGTTATTCTGAAACAATAATTAGTCGAGAATTAATGAAGCAAATTTCAAAATTTTTTGCACGGTTGAATAGAGAATAAAACCCCCTTTCAAATGAGCTATCACTCACCACCCCATGCCATTTAAATTTTTCGAAAAGGTTGCTCCTCTCCAATAAGGGATGAAATTACGGGTAAACTATTCATACAAAAATGTATATTGTAGAAATCAAAAATCGACGTGTCTCGGCGATTTTCCTAATCAGACTCCAGTAACGAGTTAGATAGGGGGGGGGGGGGGTAAGACTTATGATGCTCACTGTATAAAAATTAACCATTCATTTATTATGACTTTTTATAAATCGTATTAATTGGACTTATGAACGAGCTGTACAAGATCAAAATAACTTCAAAGACATAGCGTCTTTAAAAAGACATGTTGGCTTGGAATTCCACCACAGTTGCCGAGGGTTACATTGAGTTAATGAAAAATAAAAATCATATAGCAACTAAAATCTTATGATCAATTCAAAATTCCACAAATCAACCATTTACTTTAAGAACCGAAATCTTTGAAAATTCGAAAATGTAGAAATAAAAAAGCAATTCTCCTAAAATAATATTTGATAAATATTGTTACTAAGTAAAGACGCAAGTTATTTAATAATTGTAATAAATATTTTCACTTATTACTGACAGGCCCGACGAGAGGGAGGGGCAAAATCTCGGGGCCCAGGCCCATGGGGGGCTCGACAGCATTCAAAAAAATAGATTACAATATGTGGACCCTGGCCAGTGTTTTATCTCGGGGCCCACCATGGCTCTCGGCTGCCCTGGTTACTGAATAAAAATCAGTTCTTTTTTCTATTGTATAATCGTAGGAAAAGTATAGTGTACAACACGCAAGGAATGCCAAATGGGTGCCATTCCATGCTTGTACAATATACCATTGTGATATACGTACGAGAAACTTGTGTCAAATTTGATTCAGTTCTTTTATTACTTTGTGTTTTATGAAGTGTTTTGCAACAAATAAAAAACAAACAGTTTATGCAGTTCATAAAGTAGCCAAAGTCCAAACCCTTCACGAGTGCAAATTTTTTGAGCATAATTCAAATTTGGCTATTATGGAGGGCAAATTGAAAAAATACGAAAATAAATCTTAAAAACAGTAAATCATTTGGTACCTAATTATTTAAAAAAAATTATAGATATAACATATTTTAAAATCTGTAGTTTTATTATTATTATAATAGTTTTCTGAAGAAAATCGGAAAGAAGAAAGTTTAATAGTAGTATTCAACCAATTGTATTTGAAAATATATACATAGGTACCTATATCGGTTGCAATTTTGCATTTATGGTTTACTTTCCGGAACAATACTTCTTAACTATCGGGGACAAGATAGTAAGTATTATGTATTTGAATTTCCCGTTGGTTGCTCCTTTAATTATTGTTTTAGCATTTTTTTTTTCTTGAATTCATTATAAAACACAGATTATGTGTTTGTAATTTAAAACCGGAACATGTTTCGTTTACAGCTAGGCAATGATAGCTTGTAATACAAGATAAGAAACTTTGGTACCGGTAGTAAATGGGATAAGACAAATGTACTGCATGATCCGATTATACCTAGCTTTAAGCTGGAAGGCCCTATTTAAGATAACATTTTGATGTTAAAACAAAGATAGTGCAGATAGACACATTCAGCAGCTTATTTATTTAGGGAGTGTTCCTTAATTAGAAAATCCTGCTTATAGAAATAAACGTTGCAAATATTTATCTATTTATTTTCTTAATGTTTGTTGTAGTTAAGTAATTTTTAAAAATAAAAGTAATTTGATAAAAAATGTAGATTTAATTACCCTCCTCGTATGAAAGTAAAAACTACGTTTAAATAAAATGCACATATTAAGTAGATTAGCCTCTCTGCTAGAACGCATACATTTTGCAAAAATTAAAACGCAAGACTCATTTTTAAAAGATTTAAATTAATTACAAAAGAAGGTCGTTATGCGACTTTTTCTTTATACAACAACCAAAAATTTCTTGCAATTCAAAAGCCACCTTTTTTGTGTTGATTCTAAGAAATGTGTTCGTTCAAAACCAATCAGGGTACCTACTACAAGAGTCATTGTCACACAGAAATTCTTTATAAAAAGCAGAACTACCTATATCGGCCAGAGCTCAATGCCTCAAAACTTACACCTGGACTTCTTCAAAATAAGGGATAACAACATATGTCAACTTAGGTACGGATAAAATAAGTAGTTTCTTACCTGAATTTCTGCCTGGAAAAATTCTTATGTAACAATGCCTCACGGCCTCTTCGAAACTTCGGATACGGGGTCCATCGAGAAAGTTGTATTCTTTTTAGGTTTGTAAATAAGTTTCTGAAATGCGATTGTGAAATAAAAAGAAAGGGATAGAGAACAAAAATTTTATTAAGATAACTCTTTAAATAACATTCACGTGAGGAACAATACAGCCGCTTCTCTAAAGAAGTATTTTATTATGAAACATGAACAATTTTTTACTAGTTACATACTATAAATATACAATAATATATATTACAAAACGTATTTATCAATATTAAGTCTTTAACTTGCCCAAGAGTTTAAGTAGTGTACAACAAAAATAATGTCAGTCAATGCTATGGAGAGACAAAGTAAATTTGGCTAAATCTTGGTCTATCTATAATATTGAAGGTAAATGACTTAGTTTGGAAATCAGGAACATTGATTCTTTGTCCGAAAAATTGGGTAGAAAAATCGATTCGACAGTGGAATGTTGCTATCGGTTTTAATGTTAAATAAATATCACTGGCCTATCATCGTAAATGATTGCATATTAACACCAATCGCAACATGAAAAAGGCTTACAAATATCGAAGGAAGCCTACTTAAGTACAATGGTGACTTAGTTTGCTTCAGATTCATCACAAAATTCTTCTATAACAATAAAACGTTAGTTACATACTACTTGACGAAATGCAGCCTTGCTACGCTCATAAGTCAGTTTTTGAGCAATGCCAAAATCTTTGGTTTCTTACCAAGTGCATTCACCATTGGTAAATCATATAAATACAGAAAATAAACAGAACAAAAAATCCTCGAAATATATACAATATAAACAAAAAATATTTTACCACTGGTGACAACGACTTGATCAATTGTTGGCGTTACCCAAAGAGGAGTCGTGAGAGTAGCAAAACTTCTTGGACACGAGGCACTAGCTCGATTTTTATTACTCATACAAACATAAGTTAAGTTGTCAATGCCTCTGTCAGAAACGGGGGAAAATAATAAATAACTGTACAGCGGGCCCTGACTGACGGAAGCATCGACATCACATGCACACCTCAGTCATTCTTTTAAATTATCTACACCTCCGTCGCGAAAAGACCAGATGAAATCGCATCTGGAGTATGGAAGTGTTCTTCTATCACATAAACGCCATTCGACTCCTTTTCTAACGGCCTCTTCAACATGGAGGGATCACTGCAACAACCACAAATCCAAAGTCAGACAAAATCCGACACGATACAAGGCAATAAACCAGTGGTATTAGAAACACTCTCTTTTGCAGCTAAAAAACTACTCTTTAAATCCCATCCAAAATCATACGCTGTTAAAACGTGTTTCTATTACCAGTAGGAAAGAAAAGGATAAGATGTCGATTTTCATAAAAACTTCTAGTAATTTAAAAGCCGTTTGCACATCTTCTTACCATAACTTTAAGTGTCACTTAAGTCACACATTCGGTTTCCTGACCACAACGCATATAAGTAATACTAAAACTATCGCTCTACTTTGCATTAATTCAACTCCAAACTGAAATTTATTATACCTCAAGTAAAAGAAAATTAAAATTATAAATACCTAGTATGACTTATTTGTTATAAGGTAAGTCACAATTTTCTCAATCGACGTTTTTTCATTTTTTCAGTATCTTAGTTTGAATTACAAATGGATTTTTTTGAAAATCTGTTTGATGAGGTGAATTTAGAGAAATTTATTTATTTTTTTAATTTCTCCACAGATTTGTTATGTAGAACAGTATTTTGAAAGTGTTCAATAGGTACAATTGTATAATTCAGAGTGCGTTCACTTTAATTTTATAATTTGGTTTTTCTTTCGATACATTCATCTTGAAGTTAAAATGTTAAAGTAACAAAACGAAAATCGAAATCAATTGAAATTAAGAAATGTAATATATTTTAATAAAACTTTTGTTCCAACAAATAATTCATGATAGATCCGAAACTCATAGGAAATATTTATTGGAACACTGGACTAACAATTTGACGCTGTAACGTTGAAATTTCCATAAAATTTTACACTGCTACCAAGATGTACTAGTGAAACTTCTGCAAATTATACCAAACTTAAAGTTTACCTTTTAAGTCAAGATATACCTTAGCTAAACAATAATCGTATGCAGAAGCGGTGCAAACGGCCCTAACTATAGGAAAATCTAAACACTAATTTGATATAAATCAAAAGATTTTCGCATTTGATGAGGTTGTCTAGAATCGTTGATAAAAATCGATAATCCATAAAAATGAAACATATTAATGAAAGAGATGCTTACCTAGAGCCGCATACAGCCGATGCGTTTGACATCACAGACAAACGTTTGATGTGGTCATAATCAGGTTCGTGCAGTTTAGCAGCTAACAAGGCTGATGCACGAGCACCTGTCTCGGTGTTGAGCTGTTTCTGAGAACGCGTCCTCTGCAAGGTGTACACAGGTCGTCCATCAATGACCTGGTGTTGCGGCTTCGGAAAACCATCACAGTCGTTAATGCTGATATTTGAAACACTGCAGTCATCTGGCGAAGAAAAGTTCGAACTAATAACATTGTTTGTGCACTTGCCCCACGAATTTTTGATCATGTGACTATCGGCTGACATCGCGGCACCCCGTTTAGCGAAACTACTATTAGCTGTGTTCTGTTCATTCTGCAGGCGTGCTTCTTCATCAGCGCGAGCTTTTTCGCGTTTTCGTCGCTGTTTTAGACAAACTATAACTCCTACTGCTACTAAGACAACTAACGGTACGAATGTTGATATTGTAGCTATCACTACAACGTGTTCAGTCGTGAGATTGGATTCGGAGGATACCCTAGCACTAGGAGCCGCGCTCGATGACACTTCGTCACAATCACGTCCAAGAAAGCCGCTGGAACACAAGCATTCGTAGCCGTGAACGCGATTCGTACAAGTGCCTCCGTTGTGGCAAGGGTTTACAATACACTCGTCAACTTCTTCACTACAATCCTTTCCTGCGAATCCAGGGGCACATTTACACTTATAGTCATTGATTAGCTGTAAACAAGTTCCGCCGTTGGCACAAGGTTTCGTGATACAATAATCTACGCGATTTTGGCACAGCGCTCCCACGTAACCAGGTACACAGTGGCAGCGAAACTCGTTTACTTTATCTATACAAGTTCCGCCGTTTTGGCATGGGTTTCCTTTGCAGTCGTCAATGTTAATGTCGCATAACTCGCCGGAAAATCCAGTCGGGCAGATGCATTGAAATCCATCGGAAGTTTCAACGCACGTACCTTCGTTTTTACAAGGATTTGGTAAGCATCTGTTTACTTGTTGTTCGCAATCAGTCCCACTGAATCCGGGTTTACAGGAACATCGATAGCCGGTTTCGGTATTGGCACAAGTACCGTCATTTTTGCAAGGTTGTTTGCTGCAATAATTGACGACGGTTTCGCATTGTAAACCACTGTAGCCAGTTGGACAGGAACATACGTTGTAACCGTTTTTGGGACCACAAGTACCGCCGTTCAGACAGGAACTTTTCAAGCAATCATCAGCTGGTATTTCACAATCAGTTCCGTTGAATCCAGCGGGACAACTGCAGGTATAACTACCTTGTCCTGTGTTAAAACATGTCCCGCCATTAAGGCACGGTCTATGGTTAGTACAAAAATTTAAGTCTTGATTGCAGAACAGTCCTCCCCATCCTTCGTTGCAAAGACAGTCCCACGGTTTGACGCAAGTACCATGCATGCACCCCGGATACCGTTGACACTGATTACACAAAGGGCCTTCCCATCCTGACTGGCACCTGAAACGAACAAAAAATCACATTTTAAATACTGACGACTTCGATTCGCGATAATTTTTTTTAACGGACGGTCAATGACAGAAGCTGTGTAACGAGGTAAATATAACAATCAATGAATTCTCGATTTACGTTCAATGAGAAACGACGGACGCTAAAAGAATCCTAATGAGCTTAATGAATAGAGATGAGACAATTACCTGTCTCGTAGGATTTAGTGTTGAATGTTTGATTATTGATTACGTCGTCCAGTAAAGTATAATTAATATTAGGCGGCGACGCAATAGTATTTGAGCTAAAATGGATGGTAAGTACAAATACCAGGTACGTAAGTAAAGAACGTTTCGAGATATTTCGTTTTGACTTACTACGTGCATCGAGAGGATGATCAGTAAAAAACAGATATAATGAATTGTTTGAATTTAAAAAATTAAATTTCGTTGCTCACCACTATTGAATCTAATATGAAATTAAAAAAAAACAATTATTAGGATAAATTGAATATTTGTTTAACTATAAAAATAATACACTTTAAGAGTAACTTTATGGCACAAAATCACGAAGACAGCGAATTTTAAATTTCAATTTTAAATAAATTAATGAATTTAAAAATTAATTAATTAGGTAACATTAAAACCAAACAAGAATTATTTATAGCAAGAATTTGTTTTATGATTTCATGAGTTGCGATAGCAAATTTCCCACCTTCGTGATTTTGAGCCTTATTTATAAATACAAAAAAAATATTGAAATGATTGATCAGATGATATCAGAGAATAAAGTTAAAAAATATGGAAATATTAGTTTTACGGTATAATGTTCACTATCACTATGGTCCTCATTTATATTATTTATATTTTTTTTCGGTTAGTATGCAGACCTTACATGGGTTAGATACTTCTAACTCATTGTCTCGTAACATAATCTGGGTAATGGTTCGGATTTTTTCTACTTTCTCTTTTTGTTGTTACCAGGTATCCTCTGTCTTCTATTATTAACCCTTCCAACTATAACTGGGGTACATTTTGGACCCACACGCCACTTGTAATAGCTGTTTATTATTGCAGTATACATACACGTGTATTCAGGTTGTAGGTAATGTTTAATTTTTATATTCAATATTTGACGTTTTCCATTCAAACTGACCAAAAATACAGACCATTAATACGAAGTCTGTGAGAAATGGACCTGCAAGAATCACGTCATGAAAAAATGCAACTCGTTTAATTAGTTTTTTTTAACCTTTGATTTAATGTTTAAGTTTGCTTATGCACCCTTTTTTCCCAGATTTTTTTTTTATATTTTTATAATAATAAAAATGTTTTTTTAATGAGTATTTATTATTTTTTTGATAATGGCACCTATTCCGCTAACACTTTCACTTTAATCGCGGGGACAAAATGTACCGAGTATATAAAAAACATGCAAAAAAGGCTTGTAGGTCGAAGGGTTAATGTGTAAATTGAATCTACGGGTTGTCTTGACCAGGGTCTCTGATAAGTGATTTTGGAATAAATTAACTGTAATATTGAGGTTTATATAGGCATCTTCAACATTAATTTTTCCAGCTCACAGTAGGAATATTATGAATTTACGTTTTAGTGTTTGCACTATTTGGAACTTTATTTAATTGACGGATACACTGTTATCCGGTATATTTGGTAATACGTAGTTTTTGGACTAGTTTTCAGAGAGTTCTGCGGTTGTATATCCTGATGATAATCTAAACTTGAATCCATTATGTTTTTTGCTGATAACAATAAAGCATTTGGAATTCAACTTTTCCGATAATAGCTTGAGTATCATGGATGTCATATCACGTTTCGTCCTTAATTAACTGATTTCTTATGCAATCAAGGATAGGTATCATTTTTGTTCTTGATAAGTACTGAGAATGAGAAGAATGGGATAATGGTTTGAATTCATATCCCTTGAATGTAGTTTACTGAAACATTTCGTAAAACAAAGAAGTCTATCAAGTCAGGTATTTTGATCTATGGGCCAATAAGTTGAATGCGACTCACATTTTAGCTGTGTCATTACTTCTTTCAAGTTATTACCCTTAGTTGTTGTTAGCCTAGAGCTCCAATAAGTGTGCTTTGCAATGACCTCTCCTCCAATGATAAATCAAGTTCCTTGACCATTTAGGAAGTCTAGGTATTGCTCCTTTTTTAGTGGTATGTCTTGGAGGACCGTAACATGATAAGTTTTAGATTTTATCATTACAGGAGTTGCTTCTCTCTATTTTTCTACGAATCTCATCAACACATTTGTGTTTATCAGCAATACATCGCTTTTTTTTTCGTAGTGATTTATTGACTGTAACTTTTATTGCTGATACTAGTGTTTTTGTTAACATATTTCTTCTATTACGACACTAAAATCTCGATTCTTTAACGATTCGTAAACATTTTTCACAATCACTTTCTTACAGGCGCTTTTTGCACTTATTTACCTAAAGACACCACATTATTACTTTTGCAATGAAATTTTTACACTTAACTAAAATTCTGTTTCAAAATAATCATACGAAAACACCCACGTTTTCTTTCATGAAAATAATTGAGGGTATTTAAATACTATACTGTTCTATTTTTGTTCGGATTAACGACCAATTTTTTTTTTTTTTTTTTACTTAAGAAATAATTTTATAAGTGACAACGAAATATCTGGAAACGGTCTTTACCTATATAGATAGAATATAGGAGACCGAAGTAGAAAAATTTCCGAGACAAGACAAGAGAAGAGACGAACTAGTTAGATGAGTAGAGAGTGGCATACCGTGTACCGCGCGTACCGGATAACCGGCAGTACCGGCGGCTCGGCAACAGCAAATCGGTTGGTATGTTGAATGTGATGTGCATTTCTTATTCTAAGCATGTGTTTGAAAGAGTGTATTCGGATCGTATCGAAGAGCTCATTGAGTTGCAGCTTGGATCGCAGACCGGGGCGCGCGGGGACATCTAGGGGGGATGCAACACGCCCACAGAGCTCTTTCCCACGCTGCCCGTTGGCAAGTATGCAGGTCAAGGAAAGGTTATATGCGGGTCGGCGGCCCAATCTGCATAGTCTTCTTATTCTTAGGCGGACTGCACAGTGCACCGTGCACACCGCAACTCCTTCCGCTAGTATCCAAAACCGAAACTACTTAAATCTAATAGCGAGAACCTTGACTTGCCTCTAATTACCAACTAATTCGAATAAACTTCTGGAAAATTATAGGGCCTGCGATTTAATGAATACAGATTGAATGGGTGGGGATTGAGCAATCACGTACTAACCTAACCCGGTCGGCCGGTGGGTCGTTTCGTTTGTCCGGCCCGATCTTTCGACGTTTCTTTTCGACTTCGACGAGAACCACGCCATGCCAGCCACAGCCAGCACGGTAATTTTAATAGTGGATCACAAAACCATTCTTCATTCTAAATTATATCTTTCGTTGAATCGGTACCTAAGAGAACCAACCTTCTTCGCCGCAAACTTAATTAAATTTGAATTGTTTCGAACTTCGGTTGGTAGTTTAATAGTTTTAGTAATTAAAAATATACTCCTCGGATCTTTTTACCTGCTCCTAACCGCTCTTTATCTCTCTCTCTTTCTTTCTCTCCTCTATGTTGATGCTGATTAAATAGAAAAGCATCATCATCAGTTACCTACCATTTAATTCTAGGTTACCGATTACCGTCTTCACTAACCCTTTATCAAAAAATCATTTTCATTTCAATTTGAGTCTCAAAAGTTTTAAAATTATTTTTTTTTTTTTGTTATCGATTCAAGGAAAAATATTACACTAAAAAAAATTATTCGTAAAAACCATAATTATACCAGGTATTAATTTTATTAATCCAGTTCATTTTTCCATAAACACATAAATTTAACTTCAATATTAAAAAGGTCCTTACAAAAACATAGGTACCATGAATATGAAATATTTATTGCGTAACTCATTGACTACAAAATTTGTATTTTAATAATTTGAAGTGTAGGTTTCATAAAAAAATGTATCTACTAAAACTTAAGTTTCGCCAAAACCATGACAGGAATAACAGTCTTATCAAGAGTATCTTTTTCGTAGTAAATGAGTTGAGCAATCCAAATTTCATACTCAACCCCCTTTTCTTCCATTGCCGTAGACATTTTAAATGTGCAATTATTGAAAAATCAAGTTCTACGCCTATGGATTAATATTAGTCACAATTTTGATACATTTTTTTTAGTCAAAAAATTCTGTCAACGAAAAATGCAAAGGCCTTCGTGTGGCGGCGCCCATGAATGGAAAAACGATTTAAAAATTGTAACTTCAGGGCAGTCTAGCGCCCTTACTGACAATCTTAAATCGGTTTATTTTGGTCCAAGGAATATGCAATATGTTTTTGTAAAGACCTTTTAAAGACACATTCTTATAAAATATAAACAATTCAAAAATGGGTAATTCATAACAAAAAATAACATACCCCAACAATATATCGTATGAAGAACTTTTAATATAAGATTTGAGACAAATATACTAGAAGAACTAGAAGAAAAACACGAAAAGTGCTGTATGCAATATCAAAGAAAAATAAATACACTGCTCAACAAATGAACTGGATAATTTTAATTGCCTAGAAATTATAATTTTAAAATATTAAAGTAATCTCATAGTATGCTATCCATCTATCTATAGTTGACATTTTTAGGCTCCAACAGCAACCCTGAATATTACAACAATTGGTTCATGAGTTGCAAAAATTGGTGAAAACCATCTCTCAGCACTGTATGAGTAAAATAATTTGATAATGAGTCTTTCAAATAAAGTAAAAGCATTAAGAAAGACAAGCTGATGTGGTGCTAACAAAATATAATTTTTTTGTAACGATGTAAATTTCTCAATAAAGACTTTTTCCACTCCTACCTTATTCTTAAATTTCTTATTTTTTCCATTGGACATTAGTTTTGTTTTTTTATTTTTTTTTATTAAATTTCCTTGCAGTTTTGTATTTCAAATATTTACACTTTAAAATTTAGAATAAATTCATTTAAATTGTTCAGCAGTGTATTATTTAACATATACAAAAGTAAAATTAATAAAAGGATGTCAAAAAAAGAACTTTTAGTGATCTACTAAGTAAATAATAAAAGCGATAATTATATTTTGAAATGTTTTACTATTAAATTGTATTCCTATTTTGAACTTTAATCAGAGTGTGACTTTATACCGAAATTTACAAAAATATTCCCAATTAGTGACATAATTCGGTTTTACGAGACCATTTTGTTTACTTGATTTTATTTATTTTATTAGTAATTACCGAGGGGTGAACCAATCCCGAAATACTGGTACGTTTTCACCCGAAAACACTATAAATTGTCTCGAAATCTCCGAAATCATCACGAAAATCCCGAAATACTAGTACGTTTTTACTCGAAATCACCGAAATCAGTACAGATTATTTTAACAACCCCGAAATCATCACCAAAAATCATGCCCAAAATTTCTTCGAAATCAATTTTTCAGATAGTGGATCAAAAACAAGTGAAGAGCAAAGGTCGAACAAAAAGCAAGTGAAGATCCCAAAAAAGGTTATTTGAATATTTACGAAGAAAATTTATAGATCAATCATTGGAAATTACTCGTACATGTTTGATGATTTCGGTGAAATCACCGAAATTGTATAAAATTAAGTGCGATTTCGCGTAAATCCCGAAATCATATAGGAACAAAATCATACGAATTTTTGATGATTTCCGAAATACGGGTACGTTTTGACCTTAGTGCTTTACTCCTCGGTAATTACCATTAGTAATTATGTCGTCAATTTTTTTATTTCTTATCTTAATTGTATTTACTAATTTATTTACTTATAAAAGCATTTGTTACTTCAAAATTGTTTTCATGTTTATTCAAAACAAATGTTTTTATTATTTTTAACCATTCAATCTATTACCCTAATAAACATTACTATTATTATTATTATAATATACAAAAAAAATCCTAAGGAAGTATCACAGTGCCAGCGCATTATTTAAAATATAATCTAAATTAGCTGTACCACAAAAACGTGAAAATTTAACGACGTTACAGTTTTATGGCCATATTTAAGAAAAATATTTTTAAAATAAAAGCAGTTGTGGCATGTGTGGTGACATAGCCGTTCGACGTTGCGGGTTTATGGTCAGAGTATCTGTCATTACCGTTTATATGCCGGAAAGAATTTAAAATGGAAAGAAAACAACATTTAAAAAAATGACCCAATAACTTACTTGCATTCGTTGGGCTGGGTGCAGTGTCCATGTTGCTCGTCACATCCAGGTAAACATTGCGCTATAACAAAAAACGCAACAATTAAAATGCATCGAGTTTCATTTGTGATGGTATTCGTGGCAAGATAATAAGTTCTGATAATTATTTCTTATTGAGTAGATAATAACGAAATGGGACCCTGTATACAGACAGGTATGCCGTGATCGTGGGAAGGTCCCGACAGCAGCTGAGCGCCGCTCACCTCTTCTTTTCTCGCGGTCATTGCTTTTGCTTCTTTTGTGGACAAAATTCGGCGTTTTTTTGCCCAACTATTTATACTCTTACAGGGTGAGCTGCCACTTCGTAGACGCTCGCTCGCTCTTTGTGTTATTTATTATTTGGTACAGTTGATACAAAAATAAATGTTTGTTTATCGAGACGTACAAAAATACTTCTATTATTTATATTCCTGATAATCGGTATATAATATATATTTTTATTCTGTTTTTTTTTTCTAGTGATAAACTACAAAAATGGTTTTAGACTTAAAACGATAGACATTTTTTATAGATCAAATTAGAAATTTTTATACCTATAACTGGAGTTAAGTATATCAACGTTGAACAATTGATTTTTGTATTTTTGGTATTGAGTGAAGCCGTTTGCGTGTGTTGTATGGATGTTTTTTTTATGTGAAATATTTGATAAGTATAATTTATAACAACTTTAAAAAAATATATACATATATAATTAACGTATATTAAATAGTTCTTCCTTCTCAAAGGTTACTTCTATAGTGAAATGCCGATCGTTGCTCGAGAAATTTAACGTATTAAAATTTAATGCTGAAGATATGTTTCAATAAAAATAATATTTTATCCATATTTATTTTTAGTAAATTATGTTTTAAGTTTTGATGCCGAAAAGGTCTAGTTAAGAACCTTGCTGAAAGAAGGAGGCAGCTCCATTTTTGATAAAATTTTAGTTACTTTATATACTCTATGTAAAGAATTTAGGTTACTCGTTTGGTACTTATAACATGCAGCTGCGATAATAAATGACAAAAATATTAAACTATTTTACTTTATAATAAGTTCAAAGAATACCTTCTTTTTTAACTTTGTTGCAAGAGAGAAGCAGCTCCAATTGTTGTTTCCATTTTTCTTTTAAACAAACATATATATCACTAACAAAATGACCCTTCTATTGGACTGACAACATCGGTAATGACAAACCTAATTAAAGAACATTCCCTTGTGAAATTCAATGAAAGATGGGAGGAAACAAGAAGCTGCAGACTTGCCAGGGAACTTTTAAGTTATCCTGATAACAATACAGCGAATAAATACTTGACTATGACTAGACAGAATCTACGCCTGATCACAGGCATCTCCATATCATGGGGCTGTTAGAATCCGCACTTTGCAGGGGGTGCGAACAAGAAGATGAGACCATCGAGCATATCGTCTACGATTGCGCGATGCTTTCATTTATTAGATTTTTATTTGGCGAGAATTGGCTAATATAAGAGAAACACCTTTTGGCAAAGTTGTCAACTACATTAAATCTGTAGGCTGGCTCACGAATTAGAATGTGCCTATCAACTTAGGAGGATGCACAATGGGCCTAGTGAGGCCTAAGTGCCGTGGGTTAACCTACCTTCCACACATTACAGATACATACCACTAAGAAAAGTTGTAAATTACATGTAAATATGTCACTATTTGATTAGAATATTTTATTTTTGTTATAACAAGCTGCAGTTTTTTATTTCCCAAAATTTAACAAATATGGAGCTCTCCCCTTATTGCCGCAAGGTCCTCAGAAAAGATCGGAAGCTTGTATCTGCCTGAGCATGAACAGACTACGCATTGTAAAACGGATCCTTACTGGACTCAAAGACACCTTAGTAAACTGAGAGTAGTAGAAGAAGATAGTGGGTGCAGATTATGTGAGGAGGAGGACGAAACCCACATTCTGACTCTTTAGAATCCAAGGACACTATACTTAGGAGGATACCAAATTGAAGCCACTGCAAATTCTACACTTCCTTGAGAAGATAAGATTGAAAGTGTCGTTATAGGCATCAAGACTATTTCCTCAATGCATTAGCGACAAAAGGAGCACAATATATATTTTAGGTCGCAGTGCATTAATACCCCATACCCAACTTGACATAAGATCCCCTCAATTCTACTTTTGTTTTCAGGTTCCGCCATATTATCTGCGTAGTAAAAAATGACTGTATCATCAGTAAACCATAATATATAACTCTGAGATTTGATGGAGAATAGTCCATTTACATAAATGTTTAATTATTCCAAGACGGTACTTTGAGGCACACCGTATTTTACTTCCATGTCTTAACTGTATCTGCATAATGATTAAATTGTCGACAAAATGCTTTTTTACACTCTGACTCAGTTTAGCATTTTGTTTATACATAATATGTCCGCATCTATTATAATATGTTATTAGGAAGCAGTTTTGAAAGTCTAAAAATAACCATTTACAGTAAAATTAATGTAATTCAAATATACGTGTCCATACAAAACACTTTGTCGAAAAAAGTAACGAAATTTACGTCTATTATTTTTACAGTTAAATTACATTTTTAACTTTTTTTAAGTATATTTAGTATTTTATTTGGAAAAGTTTGTTTATTGACCTTCTCAAATCAATATCTCAATGAAACTACCTGGGTTGCATAATACAGCTGACTCTTTGATAAAAAATCATCATCATCATTATCTCGAGCTTCTCCCTCAGGCGAGGTCGGTATCTTTCTCCTCCACTTTACTGGGGCCTGCACAATTTCAATTTGAATTTTCATTTCATTCATCATCAAGACTACCTGAAAAAGTTGGAAGCGTGACCTTAGCTCCACTGCCCTTAGGCCTCATTAGGCCGATTGTGCATCCTCCAGGCGCAACGTGACTTCGACTTAACTCGTTTACCAGCCTACTGTTCTAAAGTAGCCGAGGGGTGTATATAGATCATTTTAGTATTTGTTGTGTAAATATATATTCTTCCTCCGATCTCATACCACCTAAACATATTCCTTCTCATCTTTTCATCTATTCTACTAAACCGTATCTAATATATTCGTGTCTATTTGTTTTTGTCATCTAACCCACTTGCTCCTGCAATTCCGTCAATCAACACAGGAAACAGCCTCTGCGCAATATTCTGTTTTCTCTTTGCTAATTATCAGACTCTTCTCTTTCAACTCTTTGATAAAAAAATGTTTATACATTTGAAACACATAAATTAAAAAAGTATTTAAACTTTTATTCAGATTTATATGGAAGGCACGGTTTAAAGTTAGTCTCGCATCACCCTGTAAAGAATATGCTCATTCAAGTGTGTTATGATGGCTATTTACTTTGAATTATGGAAATGATGTTTTTTTATCGTCGTAATCGTTGATATAATATCGAAACCTTTTTTTTATAATAGCAACATCGATGAAGATTTTCTTTTACTCATTTTCTTATAAAAAGTATAATAGCTTATACAGCGTATCGTATTATTATTTTATTTGATACCATTTGAGAAAATAATTGAATTAATTAAGAAACTCTTATCAATAATTATTTTCTTAAATCATATCTAAGGCCAATATAATTCGAGCAGTCATATTTTTTTTCTTCTAACAATTGCATATGGCTATCGATTGAAGCATTTTTATTCTTTATTGTATTCAATCAAGTTATATTATAACCGTATAATAGGCCTCTTTGTGTTATTAAAATTAATATCGGATTTTTACTCCAAAGCTAGTCAGTTCACCATTCCTGTTAAACAGACTACTCATGAGAAAAACAGTTTAATATTTGAAATTCTGCGTTCAAAAATTTTCTAATGAGCCGTTGCGTGAATAAAATCTATCTAGGACATAAAAAATTAAAAAGAAGCACTCTCGTAAAATCAAGTTTTAATTAAGTAAAATTAATACTCGAACGTGCTCGTATCTAACTGAACTATTTTTTTAATGGAAACACGAAATTATTACCGATAAAGATGATTCACCGGTAAAAAAATCCGTTATACATCTCTGATGAATGAGACAAACTGGATCTTTTCGTAACGTCCTTGAAAGCTAACAAAATTTATAGGAAATAACTAACCTCGAAGAAACTTAATATCGTTTCGTTACTATCTACTCAATATACTTTTTTAAAAAGCGATTACGATTATCTACAAGTGGTTGTGTGTACTCTAACAGGGCCATCTGGTAACAAAATAGACACTTACCTTTAGTGCAGTAATCTCCAGTCCATCCTGCTAGACACACCCGTTCTCCTGAGGGAGAACAGCTGTAGTGCCCGAAGCTGTCATCTCGGGGCCTGCACAGATTTTCGCAACCCTTTCCGTAGTAATGGGAGTCACATGTTACCCTGTATTTGAATTTAAGGGTAGAGTACGCTGATGTATGCACGTCTTCTGTCCATTCATCACTGACGTCCAAATATCGTTGCCTTGTCACTCTACTCACTAGCACTGGAACAACGGAAACGATGACATTGTAATTGAATGCAATTATACGGCTATTAACACAGTTGAGCAACTCTTCTTAAAATGTATTTGATATAAAAAAAGTATCAAGACAAACTCATTTGATGCATTATGACAATAGGTCGTAGTAAAGTAAGGCTCGTACGGGAAATAAAAAAAATAGAAATTTTTTAAAATAATAGTATTATACGAACCCCGTCCCGGTTCAATTGGCATACTTCTCAAATTTTATGAGAAGAAATCATACATAAATCTGATAAAAGCTTTTTTATTTTTCATCAAACATTTTATCAATAATTTAAATTAGTTACAATCTATTTGAAATATTTGAGAATTTTGCGCAGTGAAAATTTTGCGTTTAATTCTGGCACTGATTTTGCGAGTGCTGCATGAAACTACTTTTTCATGAGCTGCTTGTGTTCATTCTAATATTATTATCATTATAACGCTTTTTTTGATGTATGACATGCAGCGCCATTCTTCTGTTTTTTAAATTAAATTAAAATTGTTTAATAAGTGTTGAAAATAAATTTCTATCTCTGCTGTTATTCTTTGATTATAATTCAATGCCCAAAGAAGTGGTTGTTTTCCGGAGGGGAACGGTCACTCGTATTATTTTGTGACACACGGCTTCGATCATTTATTTTTCTTTACTTTACGTCTTGGTCACATTTGATGTGAGTTGGAATTATTTATAATATCGTTTGACGATTCGATATATCTATGGACAGACGACAAATGGGTAATATGTGACACATAAGCAGAGTCGGAGAGAAGGGAGTTAATATATTTCTCAGATATCGGAAAATATTGAGATGAACAGATCGCGAAATAGACCTCCAAATCTAAAGATTCCTGACGTATAATAACGACAGCCATTTTAGAAATAAAATATATAATGACCTATTTGCTGTGCCAGAAACTGTAATTTCACGTTTATATTTAATCATAATCATAATATGATTAAATTGGTCTATAAAATGATAAAAATAAACAAAACTGTTGACACATCCTGCCCGTCAGTTACAACGCGTGTATCAGAGAAAAGTAAAAATTAGTATAAACACTTTTATATATCTCTCCAGCCATTATTACTGGAGTTTCTAAAAATAAAATCAAAGCGGTTTGTAGAAGGCCAAATTAAAAGAATAAAAAAAGAGAAGAAGAGCGCCTAACAACTGACCGTGTAAGAAATTGCACTGGCTGGATTCGGGTTTGTAAATTTTTAATTTTCTTAATAGCTCATAATAAGAAACTAAACTGAGAACTGAGATGCAGTTGGGCGCTTTTAATTTCCCATAGTTTTTTTTAATAAACATCTACGCTACGGCCACGTAGGAAAAGGTACAGGTAGGCTGGAAGCAGACAAAATTGGAAAGTAAATTTGAACGGGTCGAGATAGACGTCTGAGAAACATAATGCAGGTGTATTCTTTAAGCATCCGGCAACAAAGCAGCTGTATCCGGTGAAGCTGTATCACCACTATAATACGTATATGTATGTGTAGTATAAGAACACCTTTTTTTTTTTCATTTGCCTTTTGATTTTCAACTGTTACGCTAATTATAATAAATTATAATTATAAAAATCACATTAATTTAGTTTTTATTTTCAGTCAATACAATTAACACTATTTACAATAATTTTATGTAATAAATATTGTAGTTACGAGAAAGTAATAAAAGTAATTAATTTTCTCTAATTGTACATAACTAGGTGGTGTTCTAACGTTTTTCTATTCATTATATTTCTTCGGGAAAAAAAATCTTCACAATTGGGTTCATTAATCGAGAAAAACATCCTTCGTACTTCAGATATTGATTTTTAAAAAACAATCACCTGGGCCGGCAGGAGGATATACTCAAAGTAAAGTTATCAAAGATATCGATATAAATTTGTTGTATAATTTACAAAAGACAGATTTAGTATCGAATCGTAATTGATTCGTCGGTAAAAATATAATATGAAAACAGGTGATGCTATAAAATAAATATTTATTAGACAGTAACACGTGAGAAACACTAGTTCCTTTATATTTTATGTTCAATGATTTCCATTAATACGAATTGTCAATTTTATGTTTCGTTAAATTTAAGGCTAATTAATGTAATTAATTTTAATTAGCGTAAAGCTGTGCAAATCGTTTTTTATTTCGTTAAATTTGGAAATCGATTTTCGGCTTTGTTTTGTTTTTAATGTGTTCATAATATTCTCTCCGCTCGCTCAGGTGTTATAAAAATCTTTATCTTGTTAAGGGGGTTGAGAAAGGAAGTCGGAGATAATATTCCATAAGTTGGGGAGCATTAAAAATACAGGATATCCGGTTAAGTGTTCTAAATTGCAAAAGCGTCTTTAAGGTCGTATTGTGTAACAAGTTGTTCGTAAACCCTACACCGCCTTTGGCGTAGGTAGTTCGCCATCACAACAGTTCGGAGTACACCTTCCTACCTACTCTTTTGGACGAGTTCTCATTTCATTAACAAAACCCGTATATCATTCGAAAATTTAAATGTGTGTTTTTTAGTAGCTTTTTAGTTTTAATTGCGAGTTTGTTTTAAAAACGAATTTATTATTCTCGAGAGTTCTTCAGCTAAAATATATTATAATTATAATATTCAAAGTTCATTTGCATGATTAAATGTAGACCATTTAGCATTTCAAACTGGTTCAAATTAATGGCAAATACAGACAAAGATGTCGATTATTATATTTTAAGAAACACGTCTAGACACTGGTTTTTTTATGTGTAAATGCTTTGATAGCACTGTTTTGGTGTTTGCAAATGGTCCTGTATAGATAATGATAATTCTGTTTCTGTGAAAAACTAAAAATGAGGCTGGATAAGTATTATTTACTGCTCATTAAAGAATCACATTAAAAACTATAAATATATACAATTAAAAGAGTTCGCACGTTATATATTAAGACAGACAAAGGAAGTAGCATTATTTATCTGTAGTCCGGAAAATATTATACATTGTACTTATCCGTTTTCAATACCTACACTGCTTTTTTATCAGCTCATTCATTAAAATTTATTATAATTTCTTCTTCCTTCGTTTCTGAACATTTCCGTACGTTTCATTGTAAGGATTACCCATTTCTTCTTCTTTTTAAATGCGGATGTGTATTTCCCATTGGGAATTCCGGCTCTTTTTAATAAATTCATCATAATTTATCGCTGCTTAAATTATACGGTTATTTAATCTTGCATTCATTTTTATTTCGAAAAATTCTTTAGTTTTTCGCCGAATTTTGACATTTTAAGCCAATTCGAATACGCAACTGATTGTGGAGTAAGGTTAAACTTTTCGTAACAAGGCAACATTAATTTTTTAAGACGTATCAAACAGATATATTTAAATAAAACAATTTTTTTGCCTAGTAGGAAACGAAGAAAATTATTTATTTTAAGGATAATGTTTACTTTTGATACATATATTAAACTATTTTTGAGAATATTTCACTTATCCATTTTTGGACAACCTATGCCATTTTAAACTAGAAATGTGAAACTACAATAAAGAACTCTAAGAGCAAGGCCAGAGAATGGCGTCCATATTTAATAGTTTCAAAAGGATTATTCCTATATTCTTTAAATGTACCGAGGAAAGGAAACTGTACCGGGATTATTGGATGAATAAATATCGCGATAAGCTTATAAAATATAGTCGTGATTGCTGGCTTTAATTGCGTTTCTGATGTTACGTAAATGAATTTAAATAACTCGATTCTTCATACCGAAATTCCTATCATTTATGTACATGAAAATGTACATACAGAGTTAAGGTAGTATATTAACTGCATACCTTAGAAAAATAGTTGTGTATTCAATAAATAACTGACAATATGGCTGTATTTTTTTTAGTGCCTAACCGGTATATATCCGTGTGTACACACATACAGAGTTATTAAATTCCCATATCCACTTTGTCACAGAAATAATTGCTGTCCATGTCTGCTTAACATTTTAGTTATAATCTTTTCCATCTTTTTCCAACAACAGCTAAGCCTTTACGTGTATTCCTTCATATTAACGGATGGTCGTTAATTAAAGAAAAACCAGTCTCGGTTAGGATAGGATTTTTAATTTAGAGAACTCACAGACTCACTCCATTGTAAAACGAAACAGTTAAAAATCTTTTACACAATATGGCGGCTGCTGCTGCACACAAAAAATAAATGCTGCGATTAAAAAATTCCTTAATTGCGACAATGATTTATAGTGCTTTCGATTTTCAGAATGAAACGTCCTTATACAAATTAAATATTCGTTATTTGGCTATTTTAGGAAGATATAGCTATCTAAATAAGAAATGCACGTTTGGAAATTTGCATAAAACTACTAATCTAATCTCTTCGTCATATGGGTTTAAAAGGAACATTTATTTTGTACCCTGGCTAACAATGACGTAGTCAAATTTAATGTCCCGCCTGTACCTACTTTGTCCAGGTGTTGTAACTGTATAACCGTTCAACGTTCCCTCTCTCTATTCAACTTACCCAGTTGACAAAACGATAAAGCATTCTAGCGAGCTTCTGACCGATTACAATGTGATAATCTTACCCTAACTTTCTGACGTTTTATTGTTTTTTTAATCCTTTCCAACAACATTTTTCTGTTCGCATTTTTTTTCCTTCTAAAAAATGTATGTTTTTTACAGAACAATTTACAACTTCGCAGTAAACATCCTGTATATTTATATATCTTTTTAACTCTCTTTGAAGACGTTTCACTGCACTAAGATAAATGGTTTTCAAGTTTATATCGTAAACTTATCGAATAAAAATTGAATATTATTTGTACAAAAAATATTTTTCTTCCATACTTAGTAGAAGAAATAAAGGTTCGTTGAGTTTTTTTTAAGTAGTTTTTCGTGACTCTTTTTAGTAAGTAGCGCATTCATTGCATTAGCTAACTACGGTTCGTTAAATCCACAAATTTAAAGTAATTATTTTTTGCGGCCCGGTCGCCAAAGCACGAGAAGAGACAATGAAATCAGCTCGACTGGATTCAATTACCAAACTCGTTGTTATAAAGAAATAAATTGAGTACAGTCTGCAAAAGACGGCTTTTCGGTGTCGAAGATTCCAAAACAGTCGAATAGTCGAAGATTACTTAGTTGTAAAGGAAAACGTAGTGGAAATATCAGTTGAAGCGGAAGAGCCTTTTGGGTTATCAGGAAGAGGGCTGGTTTTGTTGGTAAGTTAAGAGTTGACAGCTGTTATACATGTGGCATTTTATACGTGCTATAACGTAAGATATTTATTTAGTTTAACAGCATAGTTTTGTTTTCATATAGGTAGATACGTGTAACGCGGGATATCATATAAAATTCAGGCCTTTTCAAACTTAAATAAAAAGAGCTACCGACTGGAAATAATAATTCATATTTTGGAAACTAATATATACAATTTTAAGACTAAATCCTTTTATTTACTGGACACTCTGTATACTGTATAAGTTTATGCTTGCCTCTACTTATTTTTACAATGATATAACACTCTAAAATTAAGGTTATTTCTATTACCATTACTGGTAAATCATTAAATATTAATAAATATCGATTGATCAGCTGGTGATAAAATTTTAAGTAGGTATACAAGTAGTAGTTAACTGTTGGATACCTTCAAATATTGATTATTAACTTTAGTAGGGCATTCATACACATATTTACTGGATGTCAAATCGAAAACATATTAGCAGCTATAAAATAACTTTAATTTCATTCGACCGTTTATTTCACAAAATAGACCAATTATTTTAAATTTATAAAACTCGGCACCTGATTAAATCAGAAGTAATTGGTTAATTGTTCATAATTAACGTTAAAGTCGATATTATAAACTTTTTTAGGCAAAAATTATAATTAATCGTTTAATTAGAAGTTTCTAATTATTACTTATTTATCTAATGGCGCAGTTTGTTATTATTGCTTCACAAAACTTTGAAGTTGGCAACTTAATTGTTAACAGGTATTAATTAATATAAAATATATGTATAATAGAGAACACTCTTATCTTGGTCATATAAATTGTGTATGTCTGCAAAATCTACAGTAAGGCAAATTGATCTTAATAAAGTCTAAACAAATTTTAATAGGGGGTTGGTTGTATATAAATATTAATCCTCAGAACCATGCTTATGTCACAAAATGGATTAACAAAGTTACCAACAAACTTGGTTACTTAAAATTCGATACATCAACTAAAATAAGAGAGTTCAAGTAAATATATAAAACTCATGCTTATGGCTACTGGTAGTAGGTAGGCTATTTAATATGGAAACAATGACATTTTGTAGAAGAAAAAAAAAAAGAAACTGGAATTTTACAATCACGCAACGTACTTAATTTACATGGTTTATTGTCGAGATGCTCTTTGTTTATATCAAATACATATTATTACTGTGTTTCCCACTGTTGATGGATTTCAAAATATTTTTAGTTTTGTATGTTGTACTCACCAGCAGAATGTGATGTTTCGTTGCCGTGCCATGCTTCCACGATCAACGAGAAGGTGCCCTGTAAAAATGAAGAAGAAACTGAATTCTTTTATTTTGAGAGAAAACAACTTTCACTGAAGAAGATGCTAATGTTACATGCAATGTTGATGCGATCACCTTTTTACGTTCCTTTTATTGCTTGCTTGCCGTTTATGTGTCTTTGAATCGTTCAACTTCTATTATTTTATTTACTCAATTTGAATAAATTAATTTCGCATGCCGAGGCAGCTCTGCAGTTGTACGATTTTTTTTTTACCATAATAAACACTTTTTAAAACAAAGTGGTACTTAGATAAGTAATATTTAATATTCAAATATCGTTAAAATGTCAGGTTGTCTTAAAATTGGTAATTATTTGATTTATTATTTATTCATAAAAAACATTTAGAGTATTTAGAAAAGATAGAAACTAAAAACAATCAACATCAATATTGAAATATGTATACCTATATAATTGTAAAAAAAAAAATTAATAGAACCACATTTCTAGAGTATCTAAAACATGTTTTTTTAGTAAATTAATAAAAAATAGGACTTGTTCATTTCATTTTATTTTAAACTGTAATTATTTATTGAAAAAATAAAACAACTCCAAATTTTCTCATTGAAGATGGCCACATTCTAAGTTTGTAATTATTTAGATTCAATTTTTAATCTGCCATACCTATTAGGACTATTGATATGAGCTTTCGATGTAAAACATTTCTATAGTTAACCTATATCTTTCATGAATTAAACATTTAAAGTAAATAAAAATTCAAGTAATATACTTCTATATTATATAAAAAAAAAATGAAACTATCATTAAAAATTGCGGATTCTAAATCTAAAAGTACAATAAGTAAGTAGCTCATAAATTCGAAAAGAAATTGTGTCATTTTGAATGTAGTAACAGCGTTTTATCTCGATTTGGTATGTGTAACATGTACCCAGTTAGTTTATTCTAGAGAATAACGATATAAATTATCATTTTGATTTTGAGACTTGAAGCATTTTATGATAGCAGTGCTACCTTTATGTCGTGCAGTCTGTAGGTTGGTTAAACTTCAATAAATCTTCCATAACAAAAGAGAAGAAGGCCATGGGAAGATTAAACAGAAACTAATCTTGAATTGAAGACTATAATAAAGACGAGGAAAAAATGAAAAAAAAAAAATACAAAGGTAGTGATCTGGTGCTTTGTAATTAATAATAAAATAGCGATGAACCATATTCACAGAGTGGTTCACGATTTATCCCAGTCTCCAGATTCTGCGCAAGAACTGAACTCTCATATAAACTGTAGTAGGTACCTAATAAAACCGGTTAAGTACCTATGTTCTCGATGTTTATACTTATTGCACGCAGAATTGTGGGAAAATTCTCTTTTATGCGTTTTTTTACCGTAACTTCGATTAGTGCCTCGGAAAATTATTAAACAACTTAATTTGTATTATAGTGAATTTTTATAGGCAATAAAACATTATAAACTACTAATGCAGTAAGTACGGAGGATTTCTAAATGCGGAAGTGGAAGTATCTTCTTTAAAATAGATAGGTACCTAGCATAAAACAATGTTACGCTTTCCAATTTACATCAGTAAAAATATATATGCCTCGGTATTTTAAAATTAGACTACTAATGCAATAATTAATGATTTACATTTCGAATACCTATTTCAAAAACTTTTACTTACATACCTATGCTACCTATCTAGATCTAGTAATTAACAGAACAAACGTACCGTGTCATCTATATTTTATAATCCCAACAACTAAGTACATAATATCGAGTTTGATCAATAAATCTATTATAACTAATTAATTTAGAATTTGTGCAGTGCATTTCCCACGGCAAGATTCCTGCTTCGAGACAGTATGAGATGCTTAAAAATCTCAGGTAGGTAATGTAGGTACACTCTCTGCAAGAAATTTCATACAACCTCGATACCATCGACTGCAAAAGACGTAAGGTTGAGTTCTTCGACCTTAGTGCACAGTTTTTATTCGTTTCGTGTGGAAAAAAAATAATAATAATAATAATGGTAAAAGACTGGTGGTCAATATTAAAATATTAGGTAGCGATTAGAATGAAAATTAAGCTTTTTTATTTTTCCAAGTTTAAAGACCGGCCCGCATATCTTTCTTGAGCATGGGCAGGTGGTAAAATATTGCCGCCAACTAACTAGGCACCTCTCTGATATTTATCACAAGCTGCTGTTACTACTAAACGAAATATTTTCTCACGAAATCGGACCCTTTAAAAAGTTAATGAAAATAGAAGATTTATGATTGCTTCATAAAAATAAATTGAATCACATTAAATAGAAGATTTGTAGAAATTGAGTTATCAGTTTTCGATTTGGAACGTAAAAAGGTGCTTTGACACATCGCATCTTACTTCTGTACGTAGGTATGAGATGAGCCAATAAAAAATAAAACTTACCGGCCACGTGAACGGGAATGGTAAAGCTATTGGGTTTGAAAATCCGTTCTCAAGTGTATCAGCAATAGGATTATTTGGTCCTAATTCAGGTGTGATCTTATCACCAAATGTACATTTGGACGTTGTGTCAATTTTAACTTGATATTCTTTCAGGCAAACCCTGAACCGGGGTCGACAAAATCCTTCACATTCTAAATTCGGTCTCGTTTTTCCACTACAGCAAGTTCCAAAATCATTTTTGCCGGCTTCGTTGTCGAATGAGATCAGTCGCAATTCAAAAACTCCTGAAGGCTCAGCCTATGAAAGAACACCTTGTAACTCATGTGTTTTTAATTAGAATAATGTGTGTTATTTTGGGAACGAACATCTAAATATTCTTGAATTCGAATACAATCCATCTTAACGTAACGTTTGTTACAATCAACTCAGTTGAAAACAATTGATAGTTTCAAAAAAAGTGCGCGAAATTGAGAATAAATACTTTCTTATGTTCGGAATTCAGAGATGAGACAAACAATATTATATAAAATAAGATAAACGCGACGCCAGCTACTGTTAAAATGTTTTGTTCTTCATTTCATTTGTTCGCTGCATGGACAAACAAGGATTCAACAACGAGAAAAAACTTTTTGAGACACTGTCCAAATTCAACATATCATTGTCTCAAATAGATAGGTAGATATCTACTATTTAAGTTGTTGAATCCGCGAAAAAAATTGGAGGACATGTGTATGTGTCGAAGTCATTGTTTTTGAACTTATATGTATGCAAAAAAAAAACTACCGGTAATGTTAAAACTTAAAACTTACCTGATGAAAGGCTAGAAGTCCGATTAGAGTGAAGAATATCCAAGACATGATGGGTAGTTGTGATTTTATGTCTCCTGAATAGGAGGTATCAGCAGCCTCGAAGTGCTGTTACCTCAGGGGTAATCTGCAACACCGCGCCATAAGCTATTATCAAATAAATATCACTAAAGACACTATTGGACAACGACAACATGCGTCGCCAACACACTCTAAAAGATCCACATAGGCACAGCACATGCAAAAACGTTAGTTAAAATGTTAGGTTAAAACACCCCATAACGCTGAAACACAACACAGCACACGTATATCCAGATTTGAGTGAGAGTATCCGTTACACAACTCTCGAGCGGTGAATGCAGACTAACTGAACTTAACACAAAGTTGACGTTAGACGTCGGCTCAGCTCAACTCAACCGTGTGGTACGGTAGCGGGTAGCGTCTGCTCGATGGAGGGGGCGCTCTAAGGGGTACTATGTAGTGCTTCCGCCAGAATTATAAGTTCTGTGTTCTGTGCTCCACAATACGAATACGAAAACGAAAAACGAAAACGTTCATTTCTTTAAAAGCTGCTTAGGTTAACTCTACACTCGCGCGCTCGCTACCCTCGAATGGGCAGCCACCCGGCGTGTCCGCTTTAATATGAGGGACGCGCTAGGTAAAAGCAGCTGCTCACCGGCTGCCATAGGGTAGTAGTACGACCATTCGTACACTATGTACGTCATCAAACTACCCCATACGCCACCGCTGCTGATTACTGATTACGATTAGGATTCAAACGTAGGAAAGAAAACAGGCCATCCAACAAGCCCTATTTGCCATTTTGCCAAAAAACTCGCGATCCGCTCTCGCTCACCCTTCACTTATATCTACTTCTCCACTCCTCCTTTCTTTCGCTCTATTCACATTCACGTTTATTATTCACTTGGCACTTTTACAGCATTGCACGTGCATTTACATAGAAAAATCTACTTCCACTTTATTAACGATGTCGATAATATATAGGTACCTTAATCATTGTTTATGTTTATTATGTAGATTAGTAGAGCACAGAATCACAGATAGAGCAACCTATATTACAAAATCTCTCAATACACCTACCTACAGGCGCGGATCTGGGAAGATGTTTTAGGGGTGTAAATAATTTTATTCGTTATGGTTATCTTGTTTTCTCGTAAAATCTCGCGGTTACAGTTTAATAAATTGTAGTATTTTCTTCGAACAGCTTGGTGGGGGGCTTAATTACCCTATGCCCCCTCTTGTATCCGCGCCTGTATACCTACCGATTTTTAGTAAACAAATTAATTTATTCAGCTTTAAGTTAGGCATGAATAAACTAGTTTAATATTTTTTGTCAACGTTTTATTCTACGTTAATATCATCAGTGTTGATATAGATGAAACGTTGATAAACATTTAAATTGTCTTTATTTCGCACTGCAATGCTATTCGTTATATAATTTTATGACTTTTATTCAAGAAAGTTATGATAAAACACATAACTACATACCTACCTACCTTAATGCTAAATAACCATGGGATAATGTCAAGGCTTCCGGTTAATTTGTGTTTTTAATTAAATCCTATTATTATTTATGGGATCTATTGGTTCTGTGCAATTAAAAAAAATACAATTTTCTTAATATTAGGAAAATGTAACTTTTTAATATATTTTTTAAAACTATCCATGCGTTAAAATAGAATTACTCTAGAAATCCTCAATCCCAAAAAAATTAGTAAAGGCAGCTACTGACAGTGTGGAAATGACCATGCTGACAGTTTCTTTTTAAATTTATCTCTACAGTGGATTTAGAGTACTAAAGTTAAATTAAGTCGCCTTTTGCTTCTAGTATCTAATTTATCTCTAACTTAATGTCTTCCCTAAAGTATTATTAATCTTGTCAAATACCAATAAAATTAATAATAATTTGTTCGATTTTATACTAATAATAATTATCTAATTTTTCTTTCTATTTAAAATATAAATAAGATACTATTTATCATAAGCGTCCGCAGGAAAAAACCAGGGGGCAATAAAAAAGTTTCAGTTTGTCAATAGCTAATTATATATGTATATAAAAAACATAATGAATTATCAAAATGAAAAGCCAGGGGGGCAGTCGCCGTCCCTGCCCTCCTTCGAATGCCCATGGTATTTATATTTAATTGTTATTTGGATGTGTTTTAAAACACAACATTAAAAATCTGATGTGTCCAACACATGACTTTCCTATCTAGTTATTATAGGCTTTTTCCGGTTATTTTGTACAACCTATTGCAGCACCTCTATAAATGTTTAGAGGATAAACTAAATATATACATTTTCCACACTCGAAACATTTTTCTATAGATATTCATTGAAAACGAAAATACTGAAAAATTTAAATTTAGCACTTTTCCTTAAATTTTTCCAATACGGTCCATTTTAGAAAAATCATATTAAAAACAAAAATTATAGAGATCCATATCACAAAGAACTTTTATTTAAACAATTTTCCTAAAAATTTGAATTTTATTACATTTTGTCAAATTTCTCGAATACGGACCATTTAAAAAAAAATTGTATAAAACCAAAATTATAGATAATAATATTGTAAGTAATTTTTATCTGAACAATTTTCTTCTGCAAACATAAATAACAGATATATTCCATAAAATATAAAAACGGCCTCCCATAAAGTACCCCCCCAAATGTTCTGTCTTCGTCCAAAATCTAATCATTTCACCTCAGGCCGAAATAAAACTTAAATTTAAAATTTAATGTTTTTTCCTCTATCCGTTTTTGGGTTTTCTTCAAAATTCGAAATTTACACAATTTCTCAAATATCTCGAATACGGTCCATTTTAGAGAAATTATGTGTGGGGTAAAAATTATAGAGAATTATATTACAAACAACTTTTATTTGAACAATTTTTATAAAAATTTTTTACATTTTGTCAAATTTCTCGAATACGGGCCATTTTAGGAAAATTTCGTATAGAACAAAAATTATAGATAATATTATAAGTAACTTTTATTTAAAGAATTTTTTTCTCCAAACTTAAATAACGGATATTTTTCATAAAAAAAATCATGATTCCTATACTTTCCTTATCTGTATACAGATAGGAAAGTAAAAATTAGAGGCTAATAAGCAGTTGCGTCTCTAGGTAAAACGCAGGGAGTGGGTTGTTGGACTAGATGATTGGGATATAGAAGAAAAAGAAGAACACCTCATTAGAATTGTAAGTAGGTGAAAGAAGACAAGGAAACCATGGTAGGACTCTGTTAGCCTTTCTTGATATGAAGAGAAATTGAGAAACATAAACGGAACCTACCTATTCCATCTAAGGAAAAGATCACGATGATGATATGTTATTTAGTTTTCAGTACAGAATTATTTACCAAGGAAATGGACATGTATTTCCTTCCCCAATACGCTTCTGAAAACAACGTGCATTAAGATTCGGTTTAAATTGAAAAAAATTTAAAACTATTTATAGTAATAACATTCATCTACATTATTTAAATATTAAACATATTATCAGCGTTTATAATATAATAGTTACACAGTAAAGAAAAAAAAATGTACCTACATACATATCGTTAGATATTAATATAATTACGATTATTTAAACAAGTATCGAGATACACCTGCCCGTGCAATCAATTATCGTTTCAACTTCTGCACATTTTACTGAGAATATAAACAAGGTTACAGAATTTATTTGAGAGAAATAGCTCTACAAGTGCATGACATATTAAGTGTTATGCAAGGAATTCCTAATACCAGGCATGTAGTTAATAGTGTGAGAATGAGATTATTGGTAGAGAAACTCGACTTACTAAATATTACAACCCCAACCAACGTAATAAGAAAATAACTTCGATATATCATAGGCGTAGCGTGAATTCTTACCAGAGGTGTGCCACTACTTGTGACCTTTAAATAAAACTATATTGATAAGATTTATAATTAAACGTTTCAATAAGCCGTAAAAGAGTTACGAGTTTACTGAAATTTCAGTTATTATTCTTATTTATACAGGGTGTTTCACTACTAATACTGACGTGCTGGCTAAAATTTCTTACAACTATTTCTTATAAAACCAATGAATTTGATATTTCTATTTTGGTTGACTACATATTAATATATTCCAACTTAAAACAACTACAAAATAGAAAAAGTCTGGTAGGTACTTCTCTTTTAGCGAAAAACTCATCGTTTTATGACAAAAAAAGAAATTTATTCGTTTCGTCTTTTTCACTTTTATAGGTAAAATTATATGGTTACGTTCGACTTTAGAGACACACTGTTTGACCAGTTTTACTTTATTTTTTTGATTTAAATTATATTAAGTATGATTTTAACTCACCTTAGGTTTGGAAATACGAAAAAAAGTATAAATCAATTAAATATTTTAATTAAATACTTTTTGAAAATAAGAAAACGAGTCTTGTATTAAATTTAACCTAAACTTGAAAATTTTTCTGGATAATAAGCGGGTTGCCAAGATTAATTTATTACTTGTTACTATTTCGGCTGTTACCCGTAATATTTAAAAAACTAAGTACCTAGTCTGGGTATTAACAGTATGATCGGGTAGCGAAGAATTTTATGTTGAATGAGTCAAATAAAATGATTTTGTAACATTGTATTTCTAAAAATTACTCAAAAATGTCATGTGAAATGTCAGTAAGTTATAAAAATTTACAAAAGATTGCTGTTTAATTTTATAAACAATTGTATAAGCTGATATGAACAGATATTATTCTTTGATCTGTGTTAGAGGCCGGGGAGCGATGTTTGATACAGATTCTGGTATTTTATCACAAAATTCTATTATTTTTATTTTATTAACCAAATCATACAAGTATAAAAATTTACGAGTTTACAAATTAATTATATCTTCTTACATATTAAAATACTTGGCAACCCTGTACACATAAGTCAAAATATTTGATTAAAAATGTGTAATTTTTGAGATTTTAATATTAAATTTCTCGCTTAATCGTGGATAATCTCGAAATTTTTTTTAATTGTCCTGATATACCGGGTGTACAACTTAAAGCGTTACAGCAATATACCGCTTTTTATAAAAAAAAACTTTTCAGACGAAAGTTTTATAGTTTTGTGGGGAAAAACTTTTGGCTAAAATCGTTTTTTA